CGGGTCAAGTAGAGTGGTGTGCATCGGGCCCAACGGCATGTGGGCTAGGGCTCTATTAGACGCGTACACAGGTGCATATGTCAAGTGTGATCGCAGAGGAGGGAGAGAATGGATCTGCTCCAAGACTGGGACGACGTCAGAGTAGCCATGGGGCTGTGCAGCAAGTTCGGTAGTTAAGTGGTATGGCTGTTGCTGTGCTCCGATGGCAGGACAGCGAGGCAGAGCAGCTCCAGTAATCGGAGCTGGCGACTGTAAGGCTGTGGAGGTCCCAGGGTCATGTGGCGGCTGTTCTGCAATTCCAGCAGTTGAAGGCAGCTGCAAAGCACTAGAAGACGGCTGCAAGGCGTTGACAGCCATGATTCCATGCAGTTGCATTGAGGTTTCCACCACAAAACCATGATTCCATGCAGTTGCATTGAGGTTTCCACCACAAAACCATGATTCCATGCAGTTACTCTTCGAACGTCTTGTATCAACCATGATTGTTTGAAAAAATGTGTGAAAGATGGATGCACCAATTTGTGGGAGCAAATTTCGTCCCACTAGAATATTCGCCAATGATTCCTTCGTCTTCTCCACTTCTCTTTCTCCCTGCAAAAGAGATCGGGGTAAAAGGACCACACCCGGGGGGTGTTGGCCAAAGGCCCTCCGATGCCTAAGTTAGGTAGGGTATCTCAAGGAAAACCGGGTGGGCGGAGCCGTGTGTGGTGGCTGGAGCCTTGTGTCAGAGAGAGAAAGAAAGTGGTGGCTAGGGTTTGTGAGAAATAATTTCTGCAGAGTTTCAGTAGGAATTTAGACGTACCCTGACCTTTGTGCGTAGCCAAGTATTTATAATGGTCTCGGAGATTAGGGTTTCAGAGGAATAATTCCATAAATGGAAAGGAATTATTCCTCCCATATTTGGAATTGATTTAATTAATTAGGGATTTGATTTATTAGGGTAAATCAAATCCCTAATCGTGGTAGGTATCAGATCAAATCCTAATTTAATTAGGTAACTCCTTATTTAATTGGGAATTGGGGTAGGAATCAAATCAATTCCCAACTTAATTAGGTAATTCTCAATTTAATTGGGTAACTCCCAATTAAATTGAGTAACTTCCAATTAGGTTGAGTAATTCCCAATTAAGTCAAATAATCCCCAAATGGAAGGAATTATTTGACCTAGGGTATGATTTAATTCGGTTCCCACAACTGCCACGTGGTAGTACCGTATCACTGTATAATTTCTCTAGCCACGACGAAAAATGGTTTTAACTAAGATCATAATTGACAAACTTTGTTTGAATTGACAAATCTCCTTGGCTACGAGAAAAGGAATTGAGAAACTGACCTTGTAGATGCGCATAATGCAAACATGCATCACATTAACTAAGATCATCTCAAGCAACAAGTTTCAGTTTTATATTAATTGGCTCGTAGAATTTTTGTAGCATATTAATTGTAGAACTAGTTTATTTATTTACTGAAAAGAATCTGATTAACCAATAAAAAATTTATACCGCAGAGCATGCATGACAATGTAAAAAGTCAATGATTTATAAATAAGATTAGTAATGCAATAAGGATTTCACCCACCTGTCCTATTTTCCCACCCACAATATAAATTTTAAAAAACACAATCCTATTTTTTCACCCACCCATATTCCTAAAATACCATTTTAATTATTACCTCATTTCCCCTCTCCTTTATTCTCTCTGTTCATGTCTTCTCTCTCTCTAACGCCCACACATCTCTCTCTCACTTTTACTGTATCTTATTTTCCATCTTACACGCTCCATCTCTCTCTGTCTCTCATGTTTACTTTACAAACTAAAACTGCTTTTTTGCTGTAATTTACTATACAAACTAAAACTGCATTTTTTTCTTAAGCAACTTCACATCACGAAATTTGATGACAATGGCTGGTCAGCAGGCAAAAGATGACCAACCCTTAAAACCAAAACCTGGCTCACGCTCCCCAATTTATGAACATACCCAGCAACCTCTTTACCCATCTTCCCAACTTTCTGGTCTGCTGATAGAAACTTGTTCATCCCTGGGTTTTCACATTTTTAATTTGTTTAAGGAAAAAAAATTAGAGTCCAAGAAATACTCATCTCCCAAGGCTTTAAGCAATCATAAAGATCTTAGAAATTCTGTTCAAATAGGATTTCCTTACCTCTTCGCCGAAATCGTTCTCTTCAACATCCATTCTCTTGTTGTTTTCTTCTTCATAAACAATTTGATTGAATAAATAGAAAAAAGAAGAAAATTATTTGAGAATTGAGTTGAGAACTGAAAAGTCATACGAGGAATCATGAGCAAGGAGTCATAGCTTTCTTGTGTTTTTTTTTCTTTGTGCCAAACGATAAGGTTACGTGAGAACATAAGTCTGCGTTTTTTTTTTTTTTTTCGTCTTTCTTTTTCCTTAAGTCATTTTAAGTCATTTTACAGTAAGGTTAAATTTGTCTTTAAAGGTTTAAAGATAAGATGAGTGGGAAAATAGGACAGGTGGGTGGAAATAGCAGCACTCTAAAAAAATTGCCTTCATCCGTTGGAAATCTCACTGCCCTGGAACTTTTACGGTTAGATGGAAGTGCTATAGAAGAGCTGCCTTCATCAATTGGAAATCTCACTGTGCTTAAAAAATTATATTTACGAGGATGTGAAAACCTTGCAAATATGCCACAAAGTATTTATGGGTTGCAAAATCTGGGTCTTATTGATCTCAGTCGATGCCCAAAACTTGTCACACTTCCAAATAACTTGATCTCTGAAGGTTTATCGAGTGCAGAATCACTTCCTTTGGAGGTTCGAACTAACGCAAACAATCCATGCGATGGCGACTTCATGAGGCATGGGGAGGTGTATTTTCAAGAGTGCAATGTATCAAATATTGATTCCTTGTAGAATTTTTGTTGCTGGTCCAACTTAGTGAAAACTAATCTATCCGAAAGCAATTTTGTCAGTCTTCCTGTGTGCATTAGCAAATGTGTCAACTTGCGGGAGCTTAATTTGAGGGGTTGCAAGAGGCTTGCAGAAATTCTAGTACAACTTCTAGCGTCTGTAGCAATGATCAATATGACTGATTGCATATCACTAGAAAGATTTTCAACATTGTCAAAGATATTGGAAGACGAAGACATGCAACATGGACTTGTCTAATTGCCATAGGCTATGCGATAACCTAGGGTTGGATCTTTCAAAGATGGCAAAATTTTTACTGAATCAGGTGACATATGTATCTTTTATCTATATAATTAATATGCATACATTACATATATTGTTAATACTATACTATGTACGCTGCAAGCTGGACTAATTAATAAGAATATATATGCATGTGTTGTGTTGTGTTACAGATGAAGAGGAGTGAGAGGGTTATCGTTACACTACTTGACAGTGGCAGTGAAGTTCCAGAATGGTTCACTTTTGGTGATGACTTTGATGACTATGACGAGAGTAAATTTGATTACGTTGATGTTGATGGCAGGAGTTTTCGTAATTACAAACTTCATATTGAAATTCCTTGGACTTCCGTATTGGAGAACACAAAATTGGTTTTGTTTGCTGTTTGGGAAATTACGGAATCATTTGTTAGCCCTTGTTCTCTTTTATTTAAATTGGATGATTATCTAGATCAGAAGTATCTGTTTGGAAGAGAGACAAGGGAAGGTAATGTGTGGCTGGAATGTATTCCAATTTCTTGTGAACAATTAAAGACACCTATTTTTCAAGTTACTGTTATCGGCAAAGGGTTGCACATCAAAAGCATTGGGGCCCACCTGGCTCCTATCAGTATGTCAAAGGATGGTGATGATGATGGCAAACATATTGACGAAAATGAATTAGATGATGATGATGATGTAGGTGATGAAGTTGGACCCAGAAAGAGAACAAATATATGACCTCTGTCTGCATTTCAATGTGAGTTCGCATCACTTTATTTTATTTTATGTTTTATTATTAGCCTCCCTTTCAGCACAAAATTGGTAATGAGTTTTTATTTTTAATATTTTTACGTGTTGTATTGTTGTTTACCATTTAGTGTGTTTCAATTGTAGAAGAATTCTAAGGTAATTACATTTTGTGTACTTTCTTAGGTGTTGATGTTGAAAACTTACTTGGGGTCTGGACCAAAAGGTGAGTGGCTTTACTACGATGTTGAAAACTGACTTTGAATAGGCTGGCATGTGATCTGACATGACAGATATAACTGAGTTAGTATATAAGTAGGCTGTTTGCTCGCGTCTCATTTGTTTTTATCTTGCAGATTATTAAGTGAGTCATCTTCCTCTGGGAAGAGATTATAAGCTGGGTGCCCCAAGTGTTCGTTTTTGTATCTTTAGCATCTCCTTATTTTCAGATATTTCTATTTTTGAATGCCTCTTGGCGAGACACCTCAAGACGACTTCCTCTTGATTATTTTGATGCCATAATAATGACCTTGTGTTGTATTATTAGTCCTAATATGAACCCCGTGATATCTTTATATTTATTGTTTTGCTATTTTCTTATGTAACAACGTCGGTATGTGCTAAATAATGTAAAAATCATAAATTTATATTGATGACAGCTGGTAGTTGGATGCCACGCGTAAGTAATCAAGGCATCGGTCTGATTAACTAATCGTGAATTATTGAACACAAAACTACCATGTACCCATGTTATGGGTGGCGAACATAAATAATGCAAAAATCGGGGCGGCCATGTTGAGAAAGGAGAAGACATTTCTGTTTGAAAATCTATTGCTGACCTCGAGTTTAACAATCTGCTGCCCCAATAGACATTGGAAATTTGGGATATATGAAGGTATCTTGTGACTCATAATTGGTGTGTCCCTATCCTTGCTATTAATAAAAGAGATACTAGGATATGCTGCATTTCTATCATTTGCAGAACAATCAAATCGGAATACTCCATCCTCAATGATAGGCTAAAAAATCATTGATCCTGAGGTGACATCAGTAGCGACTGCCTTTCCTTCATTATCAGCCATTTTAGAGATCAAACTTTCAGTAACCAACCTTTTGGCAAATCTCTTCCTTCTGCATGCCAAAATAACCATAGTAAATTTCGCAGTAATGAACTTCTTATTAGACCTCTTCTAGCAAAAAAACTAATATCGTATGGGAATATGCATTTTGAATCTAACATTTCACTCCGGATCACTATTAAAAATGTGAAAGAAGATTATAGAGTCGTCTGAAAAATATAAACGGGGAAAATTTACAGTGTGTTTGTATCATATGAGCTATTACAACTCAATTATCACATCATTAGTGAGGTTTTTTCTCCATGCAAACAGAAGGAAATCTCAATATAGAACTTGAAAAAAAAACAAAAACAAAGAGTATAAATATAGTTTTACAGACCAAACATCAGTAATGGACTAGACAACTTGAAGTACTCCTCTACCAAGTTCCATACACCCTCAGAAAACAGAAAGCACTAAAACTAGCAATTAGAAAGTGTTGGACCTGGACTTTCTCCCTTTTCTTTCCTTTTCCTTTCATAAGTTCGAAACTAAGATGTTTATACCAAAACAAATCTCCAATGAGCATCGGACACGTGGAACAAACTAGAACTATGGAGCCTTCGGCACCTAGCTTCAGTACCGCGCCTACCGATCGCACGATTAGGGCAACCTCACCCCCAGGAACACGTGGCAGTCCTACAATTGATATCCAGAGTCCCACATCGAAACTCTAAACAAATTGCACACCTCCCAAGGCCTATAAAAGAGGACAACTATCCCAGCTTGGAGGTAATCAATCAGAACTTACGGCATACTGCCCATTGATCTGTAGTTCAATCTTACTAAATCCGTACTTACTTAAACATCGGAGAGCCTTCGGCCGGTACTGCACTGGTGCCCTAGGTCTTACCGAGCGTTTGTTATCTTACAGATTAAATGCCCTACCGAGACCCATAGCATACCGAAGGAATAAACATTACTAAGTTGCGCGGGAAAGTGCCGAACCATTTTTCTGCGTCAACAGGTTGGCGCCGTCTGTGGGAAACGATAAAAATCAACCTACAATTCCTAAAAAACACATGGGAACCACTTCAGGACAAACATTCTTACCGGAGGATGGACTACCGTACGGTATGCCAAGCGGAGCAAGCCCCGCGCTGCACCCTAGCACTCCCTTCGGTAATACTCCGGTGCTTCAGACTACGGTCGAGGCGGAGCTTCTGGCTCAAATGATTTCCCTTCGGAAGGAAATGGCCAAGCTCCAAGAACATAACAACCTCCTCTTGTCCCAAGTAGACGAAACTCAGCGGCTACTTCATCAGGAAAACGCAGAACATTCAGTCTTCAGAACCTTCCCGGAGCCTGCAGACCCCCGGTCGGCAGAAGAAGGGAAAGAAAGGGGCAAAGGCAACGCCTGCGCCTTCCAAACAGTTGGTAGTCCCGACACCACGGGACCAGCCTCACGTACCGAAGAAGGTCTACACCGATTGCCGCCATCGGATAAACGACAAGGATGCCGAACGATAGAGATCCCTGGTCAGGATCAATGCTCGCCTGTGGGGGGTCCTTGGAGACAAATCACCCCTCAGAAAGGTCCGAGGCTTGGAATCGGAGGTAGAATCTGACGATGAGTATGCTCCCCCCAAAGGCACCGAATCACACTACCGTTCGGAAACTCCCACGGAGTATTCGAAGGCAAGGCCACCAAGCGCGAGGAGAACTTCCGAAGACTATAGTTCCGAGGAGGTCCCCAGCCGAGACCCTGCTATCCGTCTACTCTTCCAGAGAATTAAACCTGACTGGGGAAAACTTCGGCCAGGACCATTTACCGAGCGCATCAAGAAGTCCAGACCGGACAGGGAGGTGCAGCCGTTGCGCATACCCTTTTATACCGGTGTGGAGGACCCTTTGACGCACCTTCACTCCTTCCAATCGGCAGTCGGGTGCAAGGGCCTCAGCGATGAGCGGCAGTGCCTTTTGTTTCCATCCTCCCTTACCGAAGCTGCTCTGAACTGGTTTTACCGCCTTGTACTAGGAACGGTAAATTCGTTTGACGAACTGAAGCAGATTTTTCTCAATCACTTCATGATTCAGACGGACTATCTGTACTCTGCCAACGATCTGTACACGGTACGGCAAAGGGAAGACGAACCCTTACGGGAGTACGCTGCGCGCTTCAGTCATGAATACTCAAGGTGTCCGGAAACGGATGATAGGGCAGCCTACGGTGCCTTCAAGAGTGGCCTTTGGCCCTCTCACTTCCAGTATCTTGTGCACAGTAGCAACTGGCGCACGTACGACGAACTGATGAAGTAGGCGGCAGTCCACGCCAAAGCTGAATACTTCAACTCCAAGCCCGGGCCTTCGGCGCGGCAGGAGGAATCGGTGCCGAAGAGCTATCCTGGGCGGACTGACAACTCCTCGGGAAGCCACAAGCGAAAGGACGACCGTGACAATCGACAAGGTGGCTCAAAGAAGGGGCGCGGGAAGTACGGTCGTAACGACCACCGAGCACCACTATCGAATCACGACCGTGATCAGGAAGTATTCACCATGTTGAATACCACGTATGAGGCCGTACTGATGAACAAGCACGAAAAAATCCCGAAACCCAGCAACCGAAAGCCCAACTGGCAGGACAATCGGGATACTGGCAAATTCTGTCGATATCATCAATAGAACAGCCGCAACACCGAAGACTGCATTAGCCTGAGGAAGATCGTTGAACGGCTGATTTGGGAGGGAAAGCTGGATCAATATATTGCCCAACCACAGCAGGCACCGGCCCCAAACGCAAATCGGCATATCAACAGGATCAGTACCATCAGCGGAGGCCCCACTCTGGCGGGACCCTCTGACCGATCAATAAAGCAGTATGTGCGTGCCATTCACTACCCTCAAGTCTTCGGAATAGAAGACAATCAGTACCGTAAAGTTCCGAAGGTTGGTTGGGAACCCATCACATTTTGCGAAGAAGAGGAAGAAGGGATCATTTACCCCCACGATGACCCGATGATCATTCGGGCCGAGATCGCCGACTACAATGTAGGTCGGGTACTGATCAACACTGGGAGTTCGGTAAATGTGATTTTTGCCGACGCATTCAAAGGTCTGGGAATCGCCCACAGCATGATCAATCGGCAGATAACACCTCTACTTAGTTTTTCTGGGGATCTGGTCCAGCCAATCTCCAGTATCAGTCTGCCTATCGCCTTCGGCGTTGCCCCCAGAAAAACGATAACCTACGACCAGTTCCTCATCGTCGACTGCCCGACGGCATACAACGTCAATGTAGGACGAACGGCACTCACCAGGGTCAAAGCCCACTTATCCCCCCACATGTTGCTGATGAAGTTCCCTACCTGGAACGGTACGTGCTATGCAACTGCCCTTAAATCTATAGCTTGCAAGCCGCCAATGGAAGCCATGTCTGTGCAGGGACTACTGAACGGTAGCGGGCCTATAGACGACCCAGGGGAGGAAACGCCAATGCCAGTAGCGCAGCCTGCCGAGGAACTCGAAACGGTAATCCTGGATGGGGAATTTCCCGATCGGTGGGTAAAGATCGGCACCACCTTAGATCCAGACCTATGAGCGCAATTCGTTAACTTCTTACGACAACAGGCGGAGGTCTTCGCATGGTCTTACGATGACATGCCTGGCATATCACCTGACGTCATCAGCCACAAGCTCAGCATCTCCCCCGCCCATAAATCGGTCAGACAGAAGCGCCGTTCGTATGATGCCGAACGGTATGAGGCCATGCGTACCGAGGTGGACAAGCTAAAAGCCATCGGCTTTATCCGGGAAGCTACGTATCCTGTCTTGCTCGCCAACTTTGTCATGGTTCGGAAGGCCAAGGGGGGATGACGAATGTGTCAGGACTATATCGACCTGAACAAGGCCTGTCCGAAGGACAGCTTCCCATTA